CATCCCTCTGCAAACCATCAAAGAATGTCCCAAATATTAACAAAGGCAACATAAATCATTCCCCCCTTTGTCTCTGTGACATGTTAAACAAAGTACAATCCCTAATATGTGAATAACACGTTGTATAAGTGTGTTTAAATAAGTATAATATAGGTCTAGATTGGCATAAAAGCATTAAAATAATAATTTCTATATCAATATGTCACCAGCTCTTACAGCTGTTGCACAATTTTTGTAGCAAATAAAGAGGGCTATGTTCTGACAAAGGAAAGTATATGAAATATTGGTATCGGCCAAATAAGTTTTAACATATCGGTATATCGGTATATCGGATATCGGCCAAATATCCAATATCGTGCATCCCTATTATTTAGCATGTATCATAACGTTAACAATGTTCTACATTTCACATTTATGTACATGTATTTGTACAAAATTTTTAATACCTTTTAAAGAATCTGAGCCAATGTAATCTTTTCCTGACAGCAGAAATTAAAATAAATCAAAACTGTCAGTCACACTTTCTGGTCTGTGCAGTTTTAGCTGGTGAGCCCTGATATACCCTCGCTACTTCGCTGTTCATTTATCACAAGCTCACTCTATCGCAGTTTTTCAAAATAAGATTGGACATGATGCACAATTGGCTGATTGATTGATGGATGAGCCGCACGATCGGCATTAAATTTTTATTTAAAATAAATGATTTAAAATGATTTAGCCCCTGTTGCACCTGTGTGCAACCCATACTGCAGGATAAGCTTCCTGCTGCAGCTGATCAGCTGTTCTCCGTGCAGAGCAGAGAAGTGGGCGTGGCCAAGAGCGCTTGCAGTTGACAAAGAGCAGATGAAGGAGGGAGCTGAAATCATGACGTTCTGTGCTCTTTAGAGCTTTAGAGTTTAGAAACGTTGTTTAGAATATTGCAAGAGTGTGGGAAGGGTTTAAAATGCCTTAATATAAATATATATTCTAAAATAAACTACTACTTAATACTTGTTCTACTCCTACTTTGTAGTTTTTCATTTATCGCGGGTCTTCAGGGTACGGATCTCCTGCGATAAATGAGAGACTACTATAATTTTTTTTTTTTTTTAATAACAAAATAAGTAATAGAAAATCCAATTTTGAACTGAACCTAGAGAATATCCTGATGCATGCTCAATAATCCAGGTAGAAAATTCCAAAAAAAAGTTAACTGCACCTCAGACTGAAGAAGTCTTTCGGATGAAAGACGAAACGTTTCTTCAGATTTTTATTTATATATATTTTTTGAATGTCCAGAGGACCAGATTTAACTTTTTTTGGATGAACCTTGAGAAGTTCAGGAAACAAACTGTTGCACCTATGCTTGTGTCATTTATAACAACAAATTAACGATAAAAATATAAAACAGAAAGTCCAGACAGCCTCTTAAAAAAAATAAATAAATGGCATATTCTTCAGGGCGTAGTGAAATGGATTTCCGGAATGATGTTCTGGACCTTTCTGTGTGATGCTGGAGCTGCAGGAGTGTTGGTGAATGAGCTCTTCTGTCCCTCCTGTTGAGCATCACACAGAGAATGTGATGGATTCTCTGTGATTGAGGTCAGCTTGTTCAGTGACGTCACCTACCTCCATGACTCACACGCCTCATGGTTCTATTGCATTATTTTTCAGCTTTAGAAATTAGACAGGGTTGTTGGGGTTT